GGTTTACCGACATGTCTCACTAAAAATATCCCTTTGACATCAGATGATCCTATTTCTTCCTATTTTCCTTATATGATTATTTTTTTCTTGGACATTTTTCAAGTTTGGGCTTTATATTTGAGAAATTAAACAACTCACGTTTTTCTAGAAGTGACCTTATGTTTAAATCAATAATCGAAGTAGAAAACTTTGCACTTGGATAGTTCTACATTGAATATGAGTTTACTGAGTTTGTTTCTTCGAAGTCTTCTGTACACAGCTGTTGTAAGGAGTGGAAGAGGAACCACTTGGTGTTTTCTGTTGTCTAAACTTTGATGAATGTAAAAACGATCATATGGAATATCTCTAAATATGGAAATGCAGTCTATTGTCTTATTCTTTTTTGAGAATTTTTCCTGCAGGTGATTTTAAAGCAGGTCTGTCGGGGATTATTTGACTTTTCAGAGAGAGCGATAAAAGTGAGCAGGTTAAGTCACTTGTCTAAAGTAACTCAATTAATGAACACAGCCCTTGTTTTCTGGCGTCTGGTCAAATGTCACAGGTGATATCTGAGGTTAATAAACCTTCAACCTTATAACAACCTAATCAGCTTGATTCAGGCTTAGAACAAATGTGCAGATCCAAAATAGGTAGTATGGGGAGTAAAACAGCGAAACATTGAAAAGCATGAAGTCTGCAACACCAGTGCTGTCTCTGCCTGGTCTATTCAGGGGTCTTGTGGATGTATGGACTCTTTAGGAGTGTTGTGGATGATGGAGACATGACAACAATCCCTGGTGAGGTGGCAGACACGTTTTTTTTATTTATTTATTTTGAGACGAAGTTTTGCTCTCATTGTCCAGGCTGGAGTAATGGCGCAACTTCGGCTCACTGCAACCTCCGCCTCCCAGGTTCAAGCGATTCTCCTGCCTCCGTCTCCCGAGTAGCTGAGATTACAGGTGCCTGTCACTACGCCCAGCTAATTTTTGGTATTTTTAGTAGAGACAGGGTTTCACCATGTTGGTCAGGCTGGTCTCAAACTCCTGATCTCAGGTGATCCGCCCGCCTTAACTTCCCAAAGTGCTGGGATTACAGGCATGAGCTGTCGCGCCCAGCCTGTTTGCTTATTTCTTTACTTTTGTGGGAGACTGGAGTTTTATTATTACTGAGATCAGTCTCCCTGAGCATTCAGGGAACAGAGTTTTTAAGAATAACTTGGTGGGTGGGGGTAAGCCAGTGAGCCAGGAGTGCTGATTGGTCAGTGATGAAATCGTAGGGCAGTGGAGCTGTCTTCTTGTGCTCAGTCAGTCCGTGAGTGGGAGCCAGAAGACCAGGTGAGCCAGTTTATTGATCTGGGTGGGGCCAGCTGATCCATCAAGTCCAGGGTCTGCAAAATATCTCAAGCACTGATCTTAGGGGCAATTTAGGGAGAGTCAGAATCTGGTATCCTGCAGCTGCATGACTCCTAAACCATAATTTCTAATCTTGTGGCTAATGTTAGTCCTACAAAGGCAGTCTAGTACCCAGGCAAGGAGGAGGTCTGCTTGGGGAAAGGGCTGTTACTGGGCAGGCACATTTTAACTGGTTATTAACTTCTTCATTTAAGGTTTTTATGAAGAGGGGTTTAGTTTGAGTTATGTGAGTGGTTGTCTATGTGCCTTAAGGAAAAATCCCTCCGAATTTTAGTGTTTTTACACAATAAGGCAGTGATTGTTGAACTTTAGAACACCCAAATCACCTAACTGCTGGGCCCCTCACTCCCAGAGTTTCTGGTTAAGTCTGAGGTGGGGCCTGAGAATTTTCATTTTTGACAAGTTTTCAGGTGATGCTCATGCCACTGGTCTGAGAATCACGTTTTCAGAACCTGGGCATGAAGGGCTATTTCTTCCTCTCCTTGCAATCCAATTAGAATATTTCCAGCTGGGAAACTCTTCAGGAAGGCCGTCCTCCAGGTGGTGACTCAGAAACAAGCTACTTTCCTAGATGCTCTGCTCTTTCCTGAGATCTGCTCTGCAGTCAGTGTGTGGGTCCAGGGTAAGAGAAGGCAGGAGGGATCGTGCCAGAGGTCTTCTAGGGGACAGACCTGGAAGTGGGATAGATTATTTTTGTTTATCTTCCATTGGCTAGAACCCAGTCATGTGAGTCTTCTTTAACTGTTAAAGGAAGATAGAAAGTCTGAGCGCTCAAAAGGAAAAGAAAACTGACTTCAAAGGAAAATACAGCCATTTTGGGCACACTTAACTTTACGAACATCCTCCTCTTGACTTTTTTCCTCTACCTAAGACATTGTGAAAATATTTCTGTTACCGATTTAGGAAGTTTAGTGATGTTCCTTGACCTGCCTAGAAATACTCTTGAGTACTGGCAGCTGGAGTTGGGTGAAGCCGGCTGTCCATGTTCCTTTCATAGATGAAGACACTCTGATAGCAGCTCACTGGTGTGAAGGGTTTACCTACACTGGAAGTGAGATCAGATGGAGAATGGGAATCCCCATCAATGGCAGGTGTCAATTTATTGTCTATCAGCTTCAAATTCATCCTTCTCTGCTCTGCTTTGTGACACTGGAGCTGGACCCTGTAAACATTTCTTAGCCAGCTGGGTGAATGTACATGTCATCAGTAGAGGGTGCCAGAGTGGTGTAGTGCCAGGAACGTCCCTGCTGAGTTCTGGACTTGGCTAGTTATTATCATTCAATGCAGTAGCACCTGGCACATGCACCTGAGTCCCAGCTCTGCTTCAGGCCATGCTCTCCCCAGCACTGGTTGCTTCTCGGAAGCTCCTTCCTGCCCACAGCCTCCTACAACAACAGATGGCCTGCTTCTGCAGACCACCCCATGCCTTTGCTTTCCAGAAAGCTTCTCCACCAGCAATTTGTGAGTTCCTGTGGCAGCAAATAAAAATTGGGAAAAAATGTTGGCCCAAAAAAATATGTGGCGAAAAAAGAATGGCAAAAAAATTTTAAATAAAAGTCTCTAATAATAAGTTTACCAAGAGTCTTCTCCTTGGAGTTCAACTCTTACAGTTGTGTCGTGTGGCCTCCGGAATGGGACAAATACTCAACGATGCAGAGGGAAAGAAGTACTTTGCAGACACCAAGGATACTGACCTTTGTGCCATGCAATCTAACTAGTCAGTAATAAGGGATGGAATGGTGATCTGTCTTACTCATTCCCACAAGGCAGGCTTGGCATGAACAAGAATAACATTTGGCAAAAATCTCTGAGGAGATCTGAACCTCAGCCTCAGTAGAGGTAGAAGGCCCCTCTGCCCATACTTGGTTCCTTTAATTTTTCACTGTCCTTCAGCCTAGAGGTAATAACTGCTCTTTTGCTACATCCTTAAGGTCCTTTTAAAGTTCCTTTTAGTAGTTGTATCAATCTGTTTTCATACCACTATAAAGAAATACCCAAGGGCCAGGCGCAGTGGCTCACACTTGTAATTCCAGCACTTTGGGAGGCCAAGGTGGGTGGATCACAGGTCAGGAGTTCAAGACCAGCCTGGCCAAGATGGTGAAACCCCATCTCTACTAAAAATCTAAAAATTAGCTGGGTGTGGTGGTGGGTGCCTGTAATCCTGGCTACTTGGGAGGCTGAGGCAGGAGAATCACTTGAACCTGAGAGGCAGAGGTTGCAGTGAGCCGAGATCGTGCCACTGAACTCCACCTGGGCAACAGAACAAGACTCTATCACAAAAAAAAAAAAAAAAGAAAAAAAGAAATTCCTGAGACTGAGTAATTTATAAAGAAAAAGAGGCTTAATGAACTTACGGTTCCATATGGATGGAGAGGCCTTACAATTACGGCGGAAGGCGAAGGAGAAGCAAAGGTGCATCTTACATGGTAGCAGGCAAGAGAGCTTGTGCAGGGGAACTGCCGTTTATAAAACCATCAGATCTCATGAGACTTACTATCACAAGAACAGCGCAAGAAAAACCCACCCCATGATTCAATTACCTCCCACCGGGTTCCTCCCATGACATGTGGAGATTATGGGAGCTATAATTCGAGATGAGATTTGGGTGGGGACCCAACAAAACTGTATCAGTAGTTCACCACCTTTAATAGTTAACAGTGGGAGGGGGGAGGGGGGAGAGATTGCATTCTGAGTTTTACCTGATGTAAATGACGAGTTGATGGGTGCTGATGAGTTGATGGGTGCAGCACACGAACATGGCACAAGTATACATATGTAACAAACCTGCACGTTATGCACATGTACCCTAGAACTTAAAGTATAAAAAAAAAATACAACATTACCTCACTTTTAAACTTTGGAGAAATTTTAAACCTATAAAAAATTTGTAAAAACAAAAACAAACAAAAAAAATAGTTAACAGTTATTTGCGTTACATTTTCCTTGTTAAAATAGCTGGAGTGATGGCTGCCTCCTGACTGGACCCTGAGAGATGTACCATGTTTCTGGTTTTATTGTGGAAAGACAATGTTGAACATACTACTTCTCAAGTTCAAAAAAGCAGAACAGAAAAACTGTACATGCCCAAAGCTCATTTCTTTGTTTTTCCCTCTCGCAATGTCAAATTCCTACCCTGAGAAGGACTGATGTTCGTATCAGAGACCCAGCAGGAATTGAGTGAGATGGTCTTCAAGCCTCAGACTTCTAGGTGCTGTAGTCTAGAGTCTCAACCAGGGTCTCCTTGGGGAAGGCACTGGGTAGGACTCTGTTTTGCTAGGAGCATTAGAAAGAAAGAAGAAACACATGTGTCATCAGAGACCAGAAACCAATGTTGCTTTTTCAGCTGCATGCCTTGGTCCCTGTCCTTGGGTGAAATCATAAAGCCAACTGTGAGTAACACCAGGCCTTTTGCCTTGGCTTGGTCCTGCTGCCACAGCAGCAGAAAACCCATGCAACCTAAAACACATCCCCAAGTAAAAGTTTCATAAACAATACACGATCTAATTTTAGGCCACAGAAAGTAGAAGGTCAGCATAGAATATTGACAGTGATAATAATCCCAGTTAGCATTGGTTGCTTATTATATAATATTTTTATTTTTCTTCACAGAAGATGGATATATCCAATGAAGCCTGGCTTGGTTTCTTTTGCACTAACTTGGCTTTACAGAAGGGCCCCAACAAAGGTGAGACATCGGAGGCAGGCATACCAGAGATTTAGAGACCCTGTGAAAGCTTTTTAATAGGAAACTTCTTTTCTATTCCCACTACTTCTGAAATTTCACCATCAAAGATTCATACTTGGTCAAGTATAGATTCCCCCACTTCCCCCACCTTTTAAAATTAAGTGAAATTTGAATAACATAAAGTTAAGCATTTAAAGTGAATAAGTCAGTGGCATTAAGTACAATCACAATGTTGTGAAACCATCACCCTTATGTAGTTCCAAAACATTTTCGTCACCCCAAAAGGAAATCCCATAGTCACTGAGCAGTTAATTCTCATTTCCCTTTTCTCTAACCCCCGGTAGCAACCAATCTGCATCTATCTCTGTGGATTAGCCTATTCGGGGCATTTCATATAAATGGAATCATACAGCACAAGGTCTTTTATGTCTGGCTCCTTTCACTTAATGTCATGTTTTCAAGGCTCATTTATGTTGTACCATGCATCAGTCCTTCATGTCCACCAGTTTATGGATGGATAGACAAATTGTTATATGTACATACCAAATCCTTTCCAGATGATTTTTAAAATTATGTTCTGGGATACATGTGCAGAATGTGCAGGTTTGTTACATAGGTATACACGTGCCATGGTGGTTTGCTGCACCCATCAACCTGTCACCTACATTAGGTATTTCTCCTAATGCTGTCTCTCCGCTAGCCCCCCACCCACTGATAGGCCCTGGTATGTGATGTTCTCCTCCCTGTGTCCATGTGTTCTCATTATTCAACTCCCTAATGGAATAAAAAAAGAGACTGTATACTCAACACAATCCTAAGCAAAAAGAACAAAGCTGGAGGCATCAAGCTACCTGACTTCAAACTATACTACAAGGTTACAGTAACAAAAACAGCATGGTACCGGTACCAAAACAGAGATATAGACCAATGGAAAGGAACAGAAGCCTCAGACATAACTCCACATGTCTACAACCATCTGATCTTTGACAAACCTGACAAAAACAAGCAACAGGGAAAGGATTCCCTATTTAATAAATGATGTTGGGAAAACTGGCTAGCCATATGCAGAAAACTGAAACTGACCCCTTCCCTTTACCTTATACAAAAATGAACTCAAGATGGATTAAAGACTTATATGTAAGACCTAAAACCATAAAAAACCCTAGAAGAAAACCTAGGCAATACTATTCAGGACATAGGCATGGGCAAAGACTTCATGACTAAAACACCGAAAGCAATGGCAACAAAAGTCAAAATTGACAGATGGGATCTAATTAAATTAAAGAGCTTCTGCACAGCAAAAGAAACTTCCAAATGATTTTTAAGTGATCTCCTCCAGTGGAGGAGATAACACATAGGACCACCAATACCTTAGTTTTAATGAGGTTGTCTCACAAAGTTACTTTGGATTAAACAGACTGGTGAAAATTGCAGGGTAGAGAGGACTCTCAAACTGGAGAGAGATGATGAAGGCAAAAAGGGTGGGGAAGCCACCTGCAATTTAATGGAGATCTGACACCAGTTTGAGTTCTAGAAAATTATGCAGCCTCTGATTAAATTCAACAGAACATTGCTGAGCATAGAATTAAAACATGCACACTTCTTATTCTCAAAGGTCAGTGTGCCAGAGAGGATCTGGGTGAGAGAAGAACTGACTTCTCCTTACCTAAAAACAACTCTGGACCAACTCATGACTGGATTTGCAGAACACTAGTTACAGAGTATATAACCTTGTCAGCACCAAGTGGGGATACCAGTGTCGCTGGCCGAAGCTGCTCCTATGTGACTGCCTGGTGATCATTCTTCAACACAGAAGCACGGCCTGTACTGAGTTGAGTTCTCACTCCGAATGTGGGACAATAAAATCCCTTTGGAAGGAAATTGTCCAAGAGTCAAAGGAGACAGATATCCCTCTTCATCTTCATTGGGAGTTAATTTGCTGGCAATTATCGTGTCTTTACCATACACTTAGAATCACATTCATTTACACTCCAGGAAGAAGGATGACTCTTTATGACTTTTTTATTTAAATTATTGATGCTTAAAATCATGAGCCATTCATTTCCTGCTTTCTCAACGTTGGTAATTGACTAGTTCAGGGCAGGTGTGGGCTGAGAAAGCCGTTTAGTTGGCATGAGGAGCGATCGCTTCAGAGGCCATGCTGCTACTTTTGCCCACAGATGATTATCAATCATAGAACATTCTCGTCTCTGCTTTGGGAGCACAGATGGTTCTCTCTGCATAACTGTTTTCTCTAGAAGCCAATACCAGGGTTGGGGTGTGGGCTATCGAGGTACCTGCTGAAGTACATATAGATCTTTTACCCTATCCTCCCTTTCCTCTGTATGTCATTTAGGCATCCTGCCAGGGGTAAAATCTTGTACCAAATTCTGCATGTAAGTGCTCCATTCTTAAGAAGACCAAATAGAAACAACTACGAAAGAAGGTTGGGCAGTGGTAATTTACATGAGTCAAGATGTGCAGCTATGAAAATTTTAAAAGCTTAAATTGCAAATGATGACATTTTGGATCAGATGCATCACTTTACTCAAAGGAGAGCGTAGTGAGGGTGGCATGAACCGCATTCACCAGAAACTCAAAGAAGAATAACACATGGTCCCGAACCCCAATAAATGCACAAATGTATCAGAGGACACAGATTTTTGTTTTGTTTTTCAAGATGGAGTCTTGCTCTGTCACCCAGGCTGGAGTGCAGTGGCGCGATCTCGGCTCACCGCAACCTCCACCTCCCGAGTTCAAGCAACTCTCCTGCTTCAACCTCCCGAGTAGCTGTGATTATAGGTGCCCAACACCATGCCCAGCTAATTTTTGTATTTTTAGTAGAGATGGGGGGTTTCACCATGTTGGCTAGGCTAGTCTCGAACTCCTGACCTTGTGATCCGCCCGCCTTGGCCTCTTAAAGTGCTAGGATTACAAGCATGAACCACCACGCCCGGCCAAGGACACAGATTCTTAAGCATTGAGTCATAGTAGAAATGGGATGAGTTTTGTAATCAAGAAAGAACACATAGGAGAGGGAATCTAGAGGAGGAAACTGTTGATTCTTTTGGCAAGGAAGCGGGAGATGATGAGAATGCAAGGGAAGTGACATTTGAGTTCAGGCTGGAAGGGCAAGAGAGGTTTGTCAGGTGGAGGAGGGAGAGAGGGGATTCCAGGAATGTTCAAATTAGAAGAGACCAGCTGGCTGTTGGAGTATTGGTAAGAGGCTGTTCAGGAGGCTACTGGAATCTTTTGGGAGGTTGATTGATGGTAAGGCATTGATGGTGAGAAAGCTGAGTGAGCCTGATTCAGACAGACATTTTGGAGATAAAAGTGATGACTATGAGGAACCAATGCAGGGGTTTAGGGAGAGAAAAAGGAGACAAGGATGATTACAACATTTCTAGCTGAGGGGAACAGGTGGACACTTACTCCCTTAACAGAGACTGAGAAGATTTGGGGAAGATAATAATGTGTTCAGCTTTGGCCATGGTAAATTTGAGCTGCTTTAGGGATATCTTGGAAGTGACAACTGGTCAGCTTAGGGGCTTGTGACATAGTGATCAGGATAGAAGGTGACTCTGATGATCTGTAAGTATTGATACATTTTATTCTAATTTTAAGTAATTTAGCATATTTGGAAATGGCATTAGAATTTCTGTCATTTATGCTTAAAACCCTCATTAATGCATTCCTCATCATCATTTTTGTTTTCTTTGGTTCAGGGAAATGAAGTATTTTCATTAATATGTTAATATTTTATCTGATGATATATTATGCTTCTTTGTTTTTAGTCTCTGGAGAAAGAGCCAACACATTAAATCATACACTAATATTATACTACTATATTGTAAATCTCTAGAATGGCATTTATGTTTGTTAAGCCAGTATAAAGTGTACTTAAAAATTGAAAATATATGAAAGGGAAGCACCTAAAGAATTACTTGTCAATAATTTTTTTTTTTCTTAGTGAAAGACAATGGGGGTGGTCACTAGGAAAAATAACTAGTAGCCTAATGACATTCAGTGGTGTGTGTGCTACTGGGGGAGTGATTGGTGATTCCAACTGGACTGTGTTTTATCTGCCTCTTCTGCTCATGAACATTCTATGGCTCCCGTGGCATGAGGGATAAAGTCAGAAAGTCTCAGACTGAGTCTTTTGAGTCTTCACTGATCTGGACCCGCTTTACTTCTTTGTAGTTACCTTCTATAACCATCACTTACAAAGAAATCCCTGTTTGAGCTAATTTGGTCTTCTTACCATGACCCAAGTATGACATAAGTATTTCTTCATTGCTGCCTGTCTGGGCTTTTCTTCCTCATCTTTCCATGCAAAGCCTTGCTAGTACGCAATGCTGATGACTGTTTTATCCGACAGGTGATGTCAAGCCCATGGCAGTTTTCAATATGATTTGACACCTTTTTTTTTCCCCCAGGAGGCTCACTCTGATTGCAGAGGTTGGGGAAGAGATACTAGATGGAAGCCCTTCAGGAGGCCCTTGCCATGATCCAGGTGAGCAAGGAGGAGGCAGCAAACTGTATTCTAGGGGAGAGGAGGCAAATGAGACTGAAATTTCCTAAGCTGTGTCCACCAAGTCAGCGATCTTTGGTCGCTTTTTGAATTTCTCTTGTAGATGACAGTGAAGATGGGAAAATGGGAAAACAGGAGGAACAATTAACAGGAGTACAAAAATCACATCCAGTCTGGAGCATATGCATTTATGGGGTCTGGAATATCCAGGTGGACTTAGTTGTTCTCCTGGCAGCTGAGAGCACCACTCTCCAGAGAAGCCGGAGACAGAGATATAAAATAACTATTAAAAGCACCACAGATATTTTCATGCTAATTGTGGCTTCTAGAGTCTTTCAGGGGTTTGGAGATAGTTTGTTTTTCACATATTTTCAGCATTATTCTTGCCATCTTATTTTTAAAATATGACTTGCAGTATCTATGAAGAAAATGCTTGCTTAGCAAAGCCTAACCCATCTTAATCACGAATTCCAAATTCATGGCATCAGAATTATAAGTAGTTTTATATTATATAATTAGAAGAAGATTCCAGTGTTTGGTTCATTGACTCTGGAGCCATGTTACAGTCTTGTTATATTTGATAATGACACAGCAGACATTCTATCAGAACTTGGATATCTGGAGAGAGATTCCAAAATGCTTTAATCTTGTCACAAATCAGAAGCAGCTGTTCCTTTTTCGTTAAAAAAAAAAAAAAGCTCAAGTTTGGATGGTCCTCAAAAAAGAGAATCTGGGATTTTCAACTGGCAGGTGTTTTCCATCAAAAAAACCTCCCCCTACCCCCATGTTGATTTTATTTCTTTAGACTTCTCTCAAACTGAAAATTGCATGTGTGTAATGAGCTTCATCACATGCACTTAGGCGTTTATAACTAAGGTTAAGCCATATCTTGAGACTTTTACACATCAAGGAAAACAGATCCATGGAAAATAAAATTTAAATATTACATGCCCGCTCTGAGTGGCCGGAATAACTGAAGACAGAAATGTTATGCTCATCAGTCAGCAGAGGACTCCAAGCCTCAAGTGCTGAGCCTACAAACCTCCCGTAGGTTCTATGATGACATGAAACTGCTGTAGTAGAAACTCTAAGACTAACAAGAGTATTAGCTTCATTGATTTTTTTTGAAAATGGGAAAAGGAAAAAAAAAAGTGCTCAGCTTAAGTCCAGGAAAGAGATTTAATACAACTGTCTTTTAATAATATTAAGTTTCCCAGAATCAATATTTTCTCCCCCTCATATTATACTATGGGTTGCTACACACCAGTTGCTATGTAAGGGAATGGAATCAATACAGACTTACCTTCTTTGGAGACTATTTCAAAGACCTGCATAATGGTGCATAGATTAGGAAGAATGAAATTGAATTTTAAGTACACTGACATTATGCTATCATCTTCAACCGGGAGAATATAGATCGTTCCAGGGCCCATGGGACCCAAGGGATTCAGGATGAGAGGTGTCAGCCACGGATGAACCCACAGAACCCCAGCGACAGCAGCTCCTGTAGGATTGTTTAACAAATGCCAAACCCAGGCATTTGGGCCACTCATAACATAATCTTCAAACACTCTAGGGTGTACTTTGTTGGGGGGATGGTGGTGTATTCTTTACAAAGTTTAGCATAGTGATTTTTCAATTATGCCAGAGCAAGTTTTTTGTATTAACTCAGACTCTGAAGTGGTGGTTCCTCTCTACTTAGATTTTAAATTTTACTTTATTTTGGGAAATTGAATGAGAATCTCAATAGGAAGAACTCTTGAAAGCATCACTGCAATGTTTTTGCAATTGTTAAAATGATATTTTTCATTAACATTTATGCAAAATAGTAATACCACAAAAAATCAAATACCACAAAATATATCAAAAAAACTTAAATTTTCAGATGAGATGGGGTGTGTTCAGAGTGGTATGGCTGTAGATGAAACAACTCAAATTTTCAAAGGGGTTAAGGCATGTTAGTTTTTGAGTGTTGATAAATCATGATATTAGTCTCTTATATTATGAGGTTGCCTGGAATAAAATCTGGATGTTTAATGTGATGTTGATATTTACAAGTCACTGTTTAATAGCAATCCCACTCTTGGGGTTTATCCTGGAGTAATGAAAACTTATGATCGCACAACAACGGACACATAAATGTTTATAGCTGTTGTATTTAAAATTGCCAAGATCTGGAAATAAACCAGATGTCCTTCAAAGAAACCAGTTGAATGATTAAACAAACTGGTATATCCATGCCATGGAATACTATTCAGCAATAAACAAGAACAGATGATACACGTGATAACTTGGATGATTTTCAAAGGCATTATGCTGAATGGAAAAAGGCAGGTTCAAAAGGCCGTATACTGTATAATTCAATTTATGTGACCTATTTTGAAAATGTCAGAATAGATCTAGAGAACAGATCAATGGTTTTTGGAGCTGGGGCAGGGGAAAGAGTAGAACTATAAAGGGAGAGTCATAGGGAATTCTTTTAGGGTGATAGAACTGTTCCATATCCTGATTGTGGTGGTAGTTATACAAACCTACAGCTGTGTTAAAATTTATAGAACTCTACAGCAAAAGGGAAAAAAGTCAATTTGACTGTTTAACTTATAAAATAATTTTTTTAAATGCCTCTTACCTTGGCTTGACTTATTTTTTAACCTAAACACAGCTGCATAAATATTAATGGGTGTTAAATATCATAGAGAGAAATTGGTTTGTAGGTGGGCTGTTAGCATACACAGGGTTAGGTTATGGGAGGAAGCTATGTAGTAGATTGGATAGGAAGTTGCTGATTTGTTACTTTGTAGGTGACTGGAACATACATAACCCATAAGTCTTCCAGTGATTGTTGTGGGCGGAAGTCTGTGTTAGCGGTAATAAGACCTCATATTCGAATTCTTTAAAATTCTTAGCACTTCCCTATTTTCTCATTTTAGTGTTGTGAACTATGTAGGGCAGAAATCCTTACCACAGCTTTGTCGATGCAGGAAACTGATGCATGGGAAGTTTAGGTAACTGACCTCAGCTCACACAGCTGGAAAGTAGCTGGGACTGGCCCTCAGAGCATTTGGCTCTTGGAAAGCCCTGAATCTAGAGTTTATTTTTAATTTTTTATATTAAAAAATTTTTTTTTTAATCTAAAATTTTTGTTTGCATCATTCTATCTCCAAGTGATATCCTGCAAAGCTGGAAATCACTGAGACCACTGAAGGAGATACATATATGTAGCTAAAGAACCTCACATCATAACGTGCCTGGAAAACAAATAAACAGATGAAAAAACAAACAAACAACCCGTCACCTGATTACCGATCAGGGGACTAGTATAGGGAATTCTAAATCCTTACTGGTCTTTACATTTTTGGTTAGCTTAAGACATTTGGTAACCTTGGACTTAAGTTATCTTTTCAAAAAAATTAATAAATTGGAGGTTTGCTTTATTGCAGAAACCCGGGATGCAGATGAAACAGATGCAATGCAGGGAGAGAGTAGACTTTGGCTATTGTTACGTTTAAAAAGGGCAATTGTAGAAATCAAAGGAGGTTTCTGCCAGGGCCCTATGTGCTTTGTAGCAAATGCAGCTAGGAAATGGTCCACCCAGTGTGTAGAATGGTGGCATCCCACTTTTCTAGGGGAAAGTTACTGTTTTGAACACATAAATATGATCTGGAGTCCCAGAAGACTAAAAGTTGGGCCTATCTTTCCATTTCCTTTTCCATCGTTATAATTTCAAAGCTCTATGCTTCCTGCAACTTGTGTGAGGAAGGTGCTAGAAATTTTGCAGGAGACCTGGGGAAAAGACAGGTTCCTAGTCACAGTGTAGAGAAGGTACCGGTTTCATTCTGAAGAGTGTTGCAGACCTGAAACAGCAAAACAAACAAATAAACAAACAAAAACACCTCCTTTCTTCTTGAGAGTATAAACTGCATTCCGCACAGTTCTATTTTTTATAAAGGTTTGCAGAATATTTGGGCATTCAGATATAGGTGAGTGGATGGAGGTATAAGTGATACACCCTGGGGCCAGGGGATATGGAGACTTGGCTGGTCTCCTGGTTTCCCAAGTCCTTTGTAAGTGGGTTAAGCTCAAGATCATCCAAGTACCCATCTTTCTCCTTTCATGATGACAGAGTGTCCTTTTGTGCAATTTATGTCAATGGGGCAGATAAGATGAGTGACTCCGGCATGCCGTGCGTTCCTGGTCATTTTCCTTGCCAGCCCCTTATGGTGACTTTTTGACATTTGGCCAATGAATAAGTAGACTCTGCTGTGTCGGATCAGAAAGAATAAGCCAAGGGGCAGGACTAAATGAAAAGCCAACCACGTCCTCCCTCCTTTCCTCTTAGCTGTCCACCTATGACAGAATCTCCCATTACTGCATTGGGCACCAGAACATTTCAAGGGATGAAATGAGTCTTTCTCTCTTGGCATCTTTCTTGTTTTCATCTATGTCCCTCCTTTGATCCCACTTCCTCACTTCCCATTTTTGTTTCTTTGTCCCTGTTTGACTTCCTTTGTGTCTCTCTATGGAAATCTGCTTTTTAAATTTACCCCTTTCTCCCTCTTTAGATGCTGATTTGCAATTCTAACTCATGGTGTACAATAAGCCCTCTCTAAAGAAGATTCCTGAAGATGCTCATAGGGCAACATGTGTCTATCTGTGAAAGTCATTTCAGAATCATTTATTGTATTTTTATGCTTAAGGCCAGTGGTTCAGATGGAATTTTTCCAGTCCCTCCTCTAAGTCTGCCCTCACTCTGAGATGCTGCCACTGTACATGAAATATTCATCGTTGGATTTGGGCAGTTTGATTCATGAAATTATTACTGCCTGCTAGTCTATGAATTTCAAAATGACTACCTTAGAAACACCTAAACAAAATACATTCTTGTGGTGCTAAACACCAACTTTAGGAAGGGAGCCTGACTGTACCTATCTGGGCCTTTCCCTTACTCTCTGGGTCATCTTAGCTATGCATTCTGGCCGTAG